ACCATTACACTTATAATCAACTACTTAGATTTATCTTAATATGTCTTAATTATGTTGCATACGTCTATGTAACAAATTTAAATAACTATTCACTCACAATAATGCTGCGTTCATGGCTGATGATGACATGTTGCCGTTGATGATGCTGCTAATGGATTTGTTGGTACTGCAATGTGACTTATTTGTTTTTTGTTGGTTCCTCCTGGAGTTGTCTTCGCTGAAGAGTGATCAATTCCTCGTTGTTGACAGTAGCCTTTGATGGTTGCCTCCTTTGTGGAATCCTACCGACTGCGCCAGTGTTACATGCGGCCCTTCAGGGATCCAAAAGCTGGTGTATTTCGATAAATAATAATAGTCAATTAGTATGATAATCAAATGTATTATATTAAACCAGACAAAACAAGCAGAATAATAGTGTTGATTGTAGTGAATTGTAGCTTGTTCCGAAGTTGATAATCTCCGTGTAAGTCGTGTGTGATGGCTGGGCGGCTAAGCGAGTCGTGTGGTGTTCTCGTCTCTGGATACATCTAACTCAGGCTGTCTCGCTGTCCCCTATATATATGGTGGCGGCGTCCTTTGAAGTGAGCGGCGCGTGTACAGTCGTCCTTGATATGGACCTCACGACTATGAAAGTGGTATTCGTAGTCGAAAACACTTTTGGGTGTGGTCGCATTCCTGGTTGTTATTATGAGCAAATATATGATATTGCGTAATCCCAATATATGATATTGCGTAATCCCATTACAACACTAATAGGTAGTAATCTAATCTAGGTATTACCTGTTATAAAGACTCGGTATGTAAGTTCCTAAATAATATCGTAAAATCCAAAGAGAAAATATACTTGTAAAAATATAGTATAGGTATATAACATACTAACAAATGCATGGTTTTGGCATCCAATTTGAATAGATTTTTAAGTATTAATTAAATTTAAATATTTTGTAAATTTTATCTACATATTTTACAAATCATTAAATCTTATTCTTTTTACTTTTTTAGGTACATGGCAACGGGTGAATCTTTTAGATCACTAGCGTTTTCATTTAGGATTTCACAAAGTTATATTAGCCGTATCATTAGATTAGTTTTAAAAAGTTTAAGTGAAAGACTAACACCTATTTTATTACCACCTCCGACAAAAGAAAACCTAAAACAAATTGCCATGGAATTTTGGATTAAATGGAATTTTCCAAACTGTGTCGGTGCCATAGATGGAAAGCACATCAGAATTTTTGCTCCGGGAAAAAAGTGGCTCGTTGTTTTTCAACTATAAAGACTTTTTTTCAATTGTGCTACTTGCAATCGTCGATGCAAATTGTAAATTTATATTTGTGGATGTTGGTGCATACGGCAAAGAAGGGGACAGTGGTATTTTTAACAAATGCCGTATCTCCGAAGTAATAAAGACTGGTGAATATTTTCCTTCCCCAGAAATATTGCCGAATTCAAACAAAAAATTGCCGTATGTACATATTGGGGACGAAGCATTCCGTCTAGAACCTCATATGATGCGTCCATATACTAGAACCGAAGCACGTGATGATTACGAAAAAACCGTATTTAATTACAGACTTTCTCGTGCTAGAAGAACATCAGAAAATAGTTTTGGACTTTTAAGTCAAGTTTTTCGAGTCTTTTATACACCTATATCTCTTAAAACAGAAACTGTAGATTATCTTGTATTATCATCATGCTGTCTTCATAATATTTTACGTGATCGATATTAAGAAAATAAAGGGAATTGTTTTTACAACTTTGATACAAATGAGCCACCACCTTCCAGGAATATGATTTCACTTTCCAGATCAGGAGGATACGCTAATTTTGAGGGATTCAATGTCAGAGACGAATTTAAACAGTTCTTTAATAGTCCACAAGGAGCTGTTGAATGGCAAAATCACCAAGTCCGACAAATTGATATTAATTGAAAAAAAATTTTAAAATTTATAGTGTTGTGTGTGCAATTGTACCTACTAGTATATTAATTTAACTGTAATCTATAATATTATAAAGTACTTACAAAATATCTAGGTAAAAGCATACCTAACCTATGTTTTTACATTTCTGTTATTATTATTTAATATTAATAGGTAGGTACTTACTATTATTATTACTAGCATTATTACAAGTATTATTATAATAATAAATTGTATTAATATTAATTTAGGTACTATTATATGACAAGTTATGAACTACTTACCATTCTTCTCCATTTTATCGGCTATCTGTGTCCACGCATTCTCCTTCACACCCAAATTTTTGTAAAACTTGTGTTTTAAGTCATACACACTAGGGTGCTTGCTTACTAACTCCGCCAGTTTTATATCATCCTCCACAGAAAATAACGTTTGTGATTTTGGTGGCATTTTAATTTGAATTTGCAACACAAAATAATTTTTAAAATATAACGTATTAAAAATAACAATTAAAAATATATTTTATAAGTGCGCGGCGCGTTTTGACTGGTATCCGAGCGGTAGTAACCGCGCCGACGAGCGGTTGCATGGTGGGACGCGCGGCCAGGCGGTTGCCGTAGGAATCGGTTAAACTTAATACCACGCTATCTAGTGCGGTGCGGCTGAAATTCGAACCGCGCCGCGTTGCCGCGCGTCTCTAGACGCGTACATAGGCATCGCACCTTTAAGGTTAGGTTAGGTTAGGTTAGGTTACCTTTAAGGTGCGATTCCTTAGGACGCGTCTGTAGACGCGCGGCCAATGCGGCTGCCGCATTGCGGCCGAAATTTCAGCCGCGCCAGACTGGTTTTGCCGTTTTTAAATGGAACCGTTTCCTTAAACCGCCGCAGGCGCGCTCGGCGGTCGCGTGCGTCTAGCGACGCGCGACGAGTACCCCCTCAGTAGGCAGTCAAAACGCACGAGCCGCGCGGTTGATGGTAGTCGGTAGATACAGTTGATTTTTTTTCAGAGAATTTTTTTTTGTTGTAAAAAATGTCTTCAAAAACTTTATTTACTTTGGAAGAAGATACAATTCTCGCAGAATTTGTTAGCAAACATCCATGTTTGTCTGACTTGAGAAATTCATTGTACAAGGATCAACATGTACGAGAAAATGTGTGGAAAGAAGTGTCATGTATTTTAAAAACAAAAAGTGGTAAGTATCTTTTATTGATGTACTGATAATTATTTGAAAAAAAAATATAATTTAACACCTAATATTTCTTAATATAATTAATTATATTAGTATTAATTAGTTATTAAATCACTTATTTCTATACCTAATATTGTTATTATTATAATAAAATTACATTTTATATAATTATTTTACTATATATCTTATATGTAATTTAATTAATAATAATAGTAATGATAAAATTCAATATATAATAAATAACCATGAATATTGTTAATTATGTTTAGAAATATTATTTAATTATTTCATAAAAATGTTACAAATTATTTAAATTATAAATAATTATAAAAAAAAACTTTCAAAATAACAGTTATTAATAATTAAATGTCAGTTTCCTGTGTTCGGCTGTCTTGCCATGAAACAGCTCCTTGTTCACTATTGAAAAAATTTGTAAATTCATCCCTTACCAAAAATCCTTCGAAATTTGCATAACCTCCAGATTTAGCAAGAGACATCATGTTCTTCAAAGGTTGAGGTTCGTTTGGATCATAATTATAATAATAATTAGGCACGTTTTCTAAATATCTATCCCGGAGAAGATTATGGAGGCAACAGGCTGATAAAACTAGTTGATCAGTTGTTTCGGTTTTCAAAGAAATGGGAGTATAAAAAACCCTAAATACTTGGCTTAAAAGACCAAAACTATTTTCTGTAGTTCTCCGAGCTCTTGACAAACGATAGTTGAAAATAATTTTTTTGTTATCATTCCGGGCTTATCCACGAGTGTATGGTCTCATCATATGTGTCTCCAGACGGAAAGCTTCATCGCCGACATGAACAAATGGTAAGCTTATTTCCGAATTTGGAAGTTTTTTTTCTGGCGGAAAGTATTCTTTTTGTTTAATTAATTGGTTCAAACTTGATTTTCCAAATATGCCAATATCACCTTCTTTTCCGTACGAGCCAATGTCGACATAAATAAATTTACAATTAGCATCCACAATAGCTAATAAGACAATTGAAAAATAGTCTTCATAATTAAAAAAGAAAGAACCACTCTTTCCCGGACAAAATATTCTAATATGCTTTCCATCGATTGCACCAACACAATTTGGAAAGTTCCATCTATCCCAATATTCACCTGCAATTCGTATCAAATCTTCTGGCGATGGTGGTTTTAATAATTTACCAGTTAGTCGTGAACTCAAACTTTTTAAAACCAACTGTATAATACGAGTGATATAACTTTGAGATATCCTAAACGAAAATGCCAATGACCGAAATGATTCGCCGGTAGCCATATATCTATAAAATATAATTATTTAAGGATTTATTTTCAACGAAATAATTATTTCTAGTTATTTCTAATTTCTAAGGAGTTCGCACTTTCCACGTATCGACCTGACAAAATTTAATTTATTTTAATTATCCACTTGTTGCTAGCATTTGGAATTTCGTAATAATTATTTCTAGTTATTTATAATTTCTAAGGAGTTCGCACTTTCCACGTATCGACCTGATAAAATTTAATTTATTTTAATTACCCACTTGCTGCTAGCATTTGGAATTTCGTGGTACGATTGTGACTATATAGCACAGACCATTGACATAGAGCAATAACTAATAAGTAATAACCATACACCTATAAGCTAATGGACAGCGCTTAGAGAAAGAAGGTACGATATAGGTAGAGTGAGCAAGAAAAGAAACTAACTAGTAAAATACTAAAATGTACACAGTTCCTTTGGGGGCTATTTTGATAAGGCGTTTTGGTGTGTTAAATAATTCAATAAACGATTGCGTTTTTTACGATTTAACGATTTAAAAACATATAAAAATACTGCTTACCCAACATGCGAAGTTGCTACCACCCTGACTGATTAGTATTGAACTATTTTATTTTAATTTTCGTTGATAAAAATATTTTTTAAGGTAAAAAATATTAGATCAAGTATATTTTTATTGTATTTTACTAAAAAAAAAAATATATGTAAAACGTATTAATCTATAATGTACTGTTTATGGTGAATAGTCTTTTCCTATTATGTATTGTGTGAAAAAGTTTTTTTTTTGAAGATATTTGACATGTCACATCACCTCTAATTGGATGTTGAAAAGTTTAGTTACTATAAATTGATTAATTTATACAGTTGACGATTGTAAAAAAAGATGGCGAAATATGAAGGACACCTACAATAAAAACAAAAGGAGTAGAGAAGTCGGTACAGGATCAGCAACTAGGAAAAAGCCTTCCAAGTGGCAACTTTCAGATATTTTATCTTTTCTAGATGTAGCAACTTAAGAAAGAGAGTATGTTATTTATTATATTTATTTGACTCAAAATACATTTGGAAATCATATATTATAATTTGTTTTTATATGTTAGAGGTGTATCAAATATTATGTCTTCTGATGCATCAGCAATAGAACACACCAACGAAGATCCTCAGATTCAGAGTCAAAAAAATACTGATGGTTTGTTTGAAGACTCAATTGATGCAAGTGTGTTAAACCAAGGAGAAAGTGAATTACAGCCATCTTCATCAGCTATTGGAGAATCGATTTCAGAAACGGGAGTTACTGGTAAAATAAAAAAATCGTGGACTGAATCAGTATCGAATAAAAAAACAAAAAAAAACGACAATTTACTTGATGCATTGAAAAAAAGAGATGAAGAAAGGAATAAGATTCTTCAAGAACTAAAAAATATTGAACAAGACGATCCTATTGATGCTTTTTTCACAAGTATGGCATTAACGGTAAAGCAGTTTACTCCAGAATTAATAATTCAAGCTAAATTTGATATTCTTCGTATTGTAAGTAATTTAGAATTAAAGAATAACAAATTAAAAGAAATTATGCCACCCCCTCAAGTTCCACAGCCGTCTACTTCTTCAAGCTACGAATTTCCCACAACAGTCAACCCTTACCAAAGCTCCGAAGAAAGTTCGCATCCAGAGTGGGTAGATTATAATTATTCTACATCCAATTCGTTTGATAGCCAGCAACAAGATAGTGAACAACCAGAGGAATATTGGATTCATTCTCTTAATAAGTAGTTACCTTATACTTTATTTTTATTTTTTAACATGACTTTATAGTTTAAAATTTATTTTCTATATCTATTTGTTTTTTCTAAGTTTTTATTTGATTTGTTTTAATATTATATTTTATTTATTTAACTATCATTAGAATATAATTTTGTTACATTTTGCTACGCATATTTCACCATTATATAGCATAACTTATATACCATTATATTATATCATAATTTTGTTAAACTTTTTATTTAAAAAAATATATATACTTTTCTTTAAACTTAATTATCTAAACTTACTAACTACATGTTATATTCATTAAAATTTAAGTATTACATTATACAAATAACAATTTTTTTTGATGATCAAAGTGAATTAATTAAATAAGTACCCACTCAGTCTTTGTTTAGTACTGAAGATATTCACTTAGTGAACAAAATACGTATTTATTTAGCAAAAAAGGTAAGTATAGGTACACAATAATATAATATATCATACCTATTAAAAAATGTCAAAACTTTACCTTAATGTAACTGATAACTTCTCGGCTGGTGTTATTGGCTGTTTAACTCGATTGTAAGGATCACTCTTGATGTCATCTTCAATGATATTTAAAACATAATTAAATTGATCATAACTCAATCGAAAAAATTCTCTGAATTTGGTTTCATCTTTAAATAAATGTTTCTCAATTAAAATGTTATAAAAGCCCTCAATTTTTCTTTTGAGAAACATATCATGAATATTGTGATTTTTATTATTCATTACATGTTCGATTATGGCTGTTTCTTCGTCGATTTGCTCCAAAAGCATTAATTTAATAAGCATTTTTTTTTTCTTACTGCGCAACATTATAATTAATTGTAAAATATGCACCAGTAGGTATAATATAAATACACGAATGACTTGTTAACCGTTCAGATGTACAAGGGAAACTGGAAATGAAAAAAATTGGAAACTGTATAATAAAATAAAATACGCCGTGCGTCTCTTGCGGCCATATTTTGTATTTTCTAGGGAATTCGTCATTGAGCCGTGCGGCTCGTGCGGCCGAAATTTCGGCCGCAATGCGACAGCCGCATTGGCCGCGCGTCTACAGACGCGTC